GAACTTAGAGCTACTTAGGTTAAACAAATGTAGTTTCAGGTTACAATATGAAGTCATACTAGAAAGAAAAGAAGATTAATTTATGTTTTTTTCGATTTTTTTTTGGTGGTTACGAGGTCAGTCGATTCGACTGATCCAGTTTTGAGATAAGAGTAGAGAAAATAACATATAAAATATATTTAGTGAAAGAAACGTTCGAAATGCATTTAGGAGGTTTTAAAGATTACACAAAGGAAATTTGAGATTTTTGAGATGATGGAAAGTATTTTTAATTTTAACATGAAAATTACTTTGCACATGGACAATTCAAAACAAATATTCAATATATTCATGGACAAAACCTTATTTTATTTTATCAGAAATACTTCACTAAGAAATATGACTTTTTTGTGTGTGTGTGTTTGTGTCTATATATACATGACTAGTAATTTACATTTTACTTTTTTTGCATTGTAGAGATATGATTTGAAAATGTCCAAAGAAACAGTAAAGTTACCATCTAGAAAGACAACCTCACCATTGAATGTGATGAAAGGAACATGTAATGGGAGTATTTCACAGCCAGTTCTTGAAGGTGCAGGTGATGATGCACTTCATCGTTCTCAGTTTCAAAATAATTCTGGTCAGAAATTGTGCCAAGGCATGGGAAAAATAAATGACATAAGTTTGCTTAAGAAACAAGCAAAGAATGGTCCGGTAGGTATAATTTTAGTTTGAAATTATATGTGGCAATAAAGAGACAACTAGTTACGTAGAATAGAAATACAGCCCCCTTTCCCTCCTTGTATAAATTTTTAAAAAACTTTTTTGCTAAAAATAAATTTTTTTGTCTCTAAAAAATATTTTGTCACAAATGCTTTTAAATATAATTTGGACATTTCCTACTTGGCAAACGAATTGCTAATATTGACAAAATATCACCATGCATGTACCATTGTTTGTATTTAAACATTTAGTAGTGCAACATTGATCTTCTGCAAATCAAAGAAGTTGATAATTAAATAATGAAAACATGTTTTACTATCACCAATAAGGGTAATAATGTTTTTATTTCAAACATATGATGATTGCAGGTAGAAATAATTAACTAGGAATTTGCAAATTTGTTAATGTAATGTGGATACATTTAAAAATGTTATTAACAAAGGTATAAGTCATCAGAATATTTTGCAGTTATCTACCATACTCATTAAACAATGAACTTAACTAAACTTACTTGATTTAATGATAATTTTGGTGAACATGATTTAAAAAACAACTCATATTTACAAATATTGATTCTTAATAAAACCATATTGCATGTATTTGAAAAAGCAAAAAACTTCATAATTTTAAACAAATAACCAAACATCAACAACATTTTAATAAGCCTTAAACAATATCCAGTCATGTGAATTTTTTGTTTCATACTGTGTATGTGTGTGTGTGTGTATCTGTATCTAGATAAACTTCTACTGTGATGGTGACAAAACGTTTTCCAAACATCATATGTTTGTTACTGTTTTAATCTTGTAATAGTTTTCTTTGTTATCCATTCAACCTGTCTCTGAACTGTTCAAGTTTGCTTTATCTCAAGTTATGTGATGTAATTTCATTGAAGAAAATTTGTGTAGCTTTCAAACAGATATAATTTAACATACAAATACTTCTACAATTCACAAACAACAGGAACGTTTACAAAAACTATAAAAAAAACAACCTTTAACCTATATATATTATTATTATGTGATAGCCAAATTCTTGCTCTATTCAATTATATTTAAACTTTCTTTGTAGCTGTTTTTAAGTCTGTGTTTCATTAGTATATGAACAAACCACTTGATATGGTACCACAACAAGGTATCAACCAAAACCTGTACAAAACAATGGGAAATGCTTGAAAATTAAGAAATGGATAATATATTCTCAAGGGGTGAATGATTTTTAGCAAAAATAAAGGTATTCTTTGGGTTGGGCAGAAAAGTTCTGAAAAAGAATTAACAAGTTGGTTGTTTTGTTTACCGGCAAAAATCTTTGTAGTTATGCAGAAATGAAAATATTAACCTTTTTGTAATGAATTTCACTAAATAAATCTCAGAAAATGAGAAAATATCAGTTCTAAAAATGTTAGAGTTAAAATTGACTTTAAAACATATGAAAAGCGAGAGGAAATCCTGTCTTCAGACTTCAAGCACAATAATTTAGAATTAAGTTACTTTTTTCAGTCCTAAACTTTGTACATGAAAATACCATACACACACAGTGCAACTGCATTATTTAACATTTAGAAACAACAATAGATTTATTCATTTATCAGTTTCCTGTTCCAACAGTACTGTGTACACTCTTTCAGACTTGTTTTTCCAGACACTTTGTTACACATGCTTGTAAGTGTGTTTACAACAATATTGGGGCCTTATATTTTAACTACTTAGTTACTCAACTGCTTTATAACCAACCAAGGGAAAGAATAATATTAGAATAATAGGATTTTTTGATATTCTTTGAGTAGCCTAAATTTAAATTCAAAGAACATGAAAATTAAAATAACATCAATTTATTTTGTAAAATAAAACTTTTGATTGTTATAACTATCTTATGAAGTATTTCATAGCATTTTGAATTAATATATGTTGACCATATTGTCCTAAAGTAATCTAAATAAGTCAAAGTTAAGATAATATTAATATATGTATATAATTAGCTCAGTCAGGTTATAATCCAGCAATTTTCAGCTGCAGGTGTCCTAGATAATACTTACTTTAATGAAAACAAATCTGTAGTATAGACAAATTATTAGTGTCTGGAGAAAGCCAAGGCATGAAAATTTACCATGGTAATGTTTAATTGACATTCATATTGTTATATTAGATTAGAAATAATCAATTATTGGTTATCTCTCCCAACACGTGGTCGGTCAACTTGACCAACTCGTGTGACCTTTTGTACTCATTTAAAGTTGATATAAATTTAATACTTATAACTCTCTCTATATATATTGAGTATATCTTCATGAAATTTGGCAGTATTTCAGTTAATATTACAAGTCTTTCAAATACTATATATATATGTGTGTGTGTGTGTGTGAATAGGTCCCATGTTGATCCAAGACATGTTATGTTATTAAATGATTAAATAAACTAAATAATAACTCTTCAATTGAACAGTCTTGTATATCTGACAATTACTACACTTAAACATTTACTTAACCTTGTGTTTCTGTAGTTCATTGTTTAGTTACCTTTAATGAGGGAATGTTTCATTTGTAAAGGTAATAGAATTTTATGATGTTTTTGCATATGTATTGATTGCAATTAAAAAAGTTAGGTATCTCTATAGAACTCACTATTAAGCCTCACTTTGAATACTGAGTACAGTTTTAATCTTATCTGAGAAAGGATATTGGCTTATTAGAAAGGGTTCTTGTTGAATTGTACAAAATTATTGGGTGGAGCAATAAGATAAAAAAACCTGATTTTTTTATGTTGTATTCTGAAGGCAATAGGAAGAGAGAGTACAAGTTTGAGATATGGAAAAGACAAACTAGGCTCAAATTAAGACATTTTTATTTTTCTAACAGGGTGATTGGCTTATAGAATGAGATGCCCACAGCAGTAGTGAAGGCCAATACTTGCTAACAGTTTATGTGAGGAATTGGTGATTGGACTGATTTTTTGAATAAAACAGATGGAGTATTCTCATCCTCAAGATGTTTATCTCCTCAGTTTATCATCAGCAACTGATTCATCACAGTATTGGACATAATGTCCCTTTTTTACATTTACAGCAGTTTTCTTCTCCACCTTTTGTTAGCAGTTTCTAGCAGTATGTTGTTTTAAGTTACAGTTGAATATAACTCTATAAAGCTGGAGAGCTTTATTTAGTTTAATTTGCATTTCCTCATCCACAATGGCATTTATGGATTGGTCAAGTGCCAACAAATCCGTTATTCCATGTGGAGCATCCAGATAAGATAATTGGGCAAGCATTTTCACATTTTCTGCAAGCTCAGATAAGGTCTTTCCTCTCCTTCATACTCTGCTCCTGAACTTTACGTTGGAAACTTTCTTCTGGTGTGTCACTTCGTACCTGTATAATAAGGCAGCCACCAATATTTGATAGATAGCTGTTACAACTCTCACTTGGAAGGTGGCTCATTGCTGCTAAAGCTGGCCTTTTTAAATAAACAGCAAACTTAGTAGTTTTTTGTTTTTCCATTCCATCTATTTACTATGGAAATTCTTTTGAACTGAGCTTAATTTATGTCTTACATAGTACCTTTCTGTTTATTGCTCACGAAGGTGAAGTTTTTCAACTGGTCTGCTAAATTCTCTATCACGATAAAGTAATGGTATACTTAGAGTAGTCCAGGAAGTTGCTGTGATCATAAATGGCACAACATTAGTGGTAACAGGTGTAGATCAGATGGGTTCTCCAATTTCATATCTTATATTTATAGGTGTTTGAGGGTACAAATCTTTGACTTATGCAAGGAGAAGTGTGGCTGGTTTAACCCTTGCATTTGCCAATTTTTAATCTGTCTCTAATGTTCTTTTCTTCTGTATCAGTTTGGCTGTTGTAAGCTTTTTGTTCTTTGTTGATGCCTTTTTTTAGCTGTGGCTCATAGAATGGCTGTTTTTTTTTGTTTGTTTTTTTTCAAGTATAAACATTTAGCTCATAGATCCGTCATTTCGTGACCGATTTGAGATCTAGTTACAGTTTTGGACTCAGGAGGTCAAACTCTTTCGATTGATGTATTCGACCATGCCAAAGGTCTTGTAGATTAATTTACTCTAATCCTGCTTAAAATAATTTCAGTTTGAGGGTAGGCTGGTAGAGATCTTGATAAAATCGAATCAGCTATATGCGTGCCCCATGCTTGGTATTGTTGGCACACAAATATATAGCTAATAAAAAAGGGTATTTATTATTATTTTTTACTACTTCAATTTTGGTGTTATAATCCTTTGCAACTTTAGTTACTTCTTGGATTTTGTTTTCAATCAAATTTGTTTTTGTTTCAATAATTTTTAGGATTGTATATCTCTCTTAACTCTTCTCTTTAGTCCTTGGATTTTTCTTTTCATTTTTTAACTTACTCTGAATCTCTTCATGATTTCATTTAATTTTTCTATTCCTTATATATCTTTTAATTTGTTTTCTGTTTCTTCCAGGTCTCCTTTTAATTTTCTGTCTTTCTCTTTCTGACTTTTTTAGTTCTTCTTTCCACTGTTTCATCATTTGAAGAAAAATTTTGATCTCACTTTAAGAACATATCATCTTGAAGTTAGTCTAGATCCTGTTCATTTCCACAAAAATAATTCCACTCTGGCATGAGTATTATAATGGTTTCTTTTGTTTACTGTATTCTTTTTTATTATTGTGTAAAAAGCAGAATACAAGTTACATTTCAAATAAAGAAAAGTGAAGGATTTTAATTCTTTAAATGAAAGATTGACAACTTACATGGTTTCACAAAGTAATGATAACCAAGTGATATGTCTAACTCAGAAACAAAACTTAACAGACTTTTGTTAAATTTCCTTTCATGTGTACAGTATTTGCTAACTCAGTATGCAATCAACAAATCTATAACACACTCACTAGTTCATTTATCACCTGACTAAATAATTCATCAGAAAGTGTGCTGTTCATTTTTCTTCTGAAGTCTGGCAAATACGAGATGTCATGTGAAATCTGGACATACAAAAAATTTC